AATGATGTTAGACAAAAAGCAAACTCGAGTGATTTTCCTATTTGAGTTCAAAATGGATCATAAAGCAGAGGAGACAACTTGCAACATTAACAAAACATTTGGCCCAGAAACTGCTAATGAACATTCAGTGCAGTGGTGGTTCAAGAAGTTTTGCAAAAGAGACGAGAGCCTTGAGAAGAGAGGAGTGCAGTGGCAGGCCATTGGAAGTTGAGGAGTGCTGTGGCAGGCCATTGGAAGTTGAGGAGTGCTGTGGCAGGCCATTGGACGTTGACAATGACCAACTGAGAGTTATCATCAAAGCTGATCGTCTTACAACTACATGAGAAGCTGTCAAAGAACTCAAGGTCGACCATTCTACGGTTGTTTGGCATTTGAAGCAAATTGGAAAGGTGAACAAGTTTGATAAGTAGGTGCCTCATGAGCTGACCAAAAATCAAAACATCGTCATTTTGAAGTGTTGTCTTCTCTTATTGTACGCAACAATGAACCATTTCTCAATTGGATTGTGACGTGCAATGAAAAGTAGATTTTACACGATGACGGGCAATGACCAGCTCAGAAGCTGGACTGAAAATAAGTCCAAAGCACTTCCCAAAGCCAAACTTGCACCCAAAAAAGGTCATGGTCACTGTATGGTGGTCTTCTGCCTATCTGATCCACTACAGCTTTCTGAATCCTGGTGAAACCATTACATCTGAGAAGTATGCTCAGCAAATCGATGAGATGCACTGAAAACTGCAACGCCTGCAGCCCGCACTGATCAACAGAAAAGGCCCAATTCTTCTCCACGACAATGCCTGATCACACATCCCACAACCAATGCTTCAAAAGTTGAATGCATTGGGCTACAAAGTTTTGCCTCATCTGCCATATTCACCTGACCTCTTGCTGACTATCACTTCTTCAAGCATCTCAACAACTTTTTGCAGGGAAAAAGCTTCCACAACCAGCAGGATGCAGAGAATGCTTTCCAAGAGTTTGTCGAACCCTGAAGCATGGATTTTTACACTACAGAAATAAACAAACTTACTTCTCATTGGCAAAACCATGTTGATTGTAATGGCTCCAATTTTGGTGAATAAAGATGTGTTTCAGCCTAGTTATAATGATTTAAAATTCATGGTCCACAACCACAATTACTTTTGCACCAATCTAATAAAAACTTTTTTACTGGTTGCAACATACATTTACAATTAATCCAAGTCCACTGTCAAATAATACTATACCACTTCATGGGTAGTACAAATACCTTATAATAACAAAATAATCCTAATTCCTCCCTCCTGTCCCTTATATCATGGCTGTCATTCATGTTACTTATACAGTAAGCATATATATGCAAATATATAATATATATAAGTATACACAATCAAATACATTATTGCTATTTTTTGACAAGTTGCTGCTAGATCAATCAATAAAAAAATAATAATTTTTATTTTACTTTCATTTAGTCTCTCTAGTGCTTTTCCTTTCTTTATGTAGACCTGAATTTCTGACCTACATCATTTTCATTCTCTCCAAAGAACTTCTTTTAACATTTCTGGCAAGTCATGTCTACTGGCATCAAAATTCCCTCAATTTTTGTTTGTCTAAGAAAATCTTTATTTCTCCTTCACCTTTAAAAGATAATTTTGCAGAGTACAGAATTCTAGATTGGTAGAGATTTTTTTCCCCTCTGTTTTAAGTATTTCACTCCACTCTCTTCTTGTTTGCATGGTTTCTAAAGAGCAGTAGGGTGTTCACCGTTCCTCCCCAATTGGAAGGGTCTCCTCCTACCCCCAGCTTCTTCCAGAATTTTTTTCTTATATTTAATTTTCTGTAGTTTGAATATAATATGCTTAGGTGTATTTTTCTGATGTTTATCCTGCTTGGTTTTCTCTGAGTTTCCTGGATCTGCGGTTTGTTGTCTGACATTAATTTGAGAAAATTCTTCATCATTATTGTTTCAAATATTTCTTTTGTTTCTTTCTCTCTTTCTTCATTGGTAGTCCCATCACACATACATTATACCTTCTGTAGTTGTCCCATAGTTATTTGATATAGTTCTGGGTTTTTTTTCAGTATTTTTTCTGTTTTTCAGTTTTGGATATTTCTACTGAGATATCCTCAAGCTCAGAGATTCTTTCCTCAGCTATGCCCAGTCTATTACTAAACCCGTTAATAGCATACATTTCTGTTACAGCGTTCTTGACTTCTATCATTTTATTTATTTATTTATTTAGATTTTCAATCTCTATACTTACTTTGCCCATCTGTTTTTGCATGCTGTCTCCTTTATCCATTAAAGTCCTTGATATATTAACCACTGTAGTTTTAAATTCCTGAATTGATAATTCCAACATCTCTGTCATATCTGAATCTGGTTCTGATGCTTGCTCTGTCTCTTCAGAGCACGCCTTGTAATTTTTCCTTGATAGCCTGACATGATGAACTGGGCAAAAGGAAGTGCTGTAAACAGGCCTTCAGTAATGTGGTGGTGAGGTGTAGGGACGGGTATCATTCTGTGCTTGCATGAGCGGATCTCGGTATTTCGGTGAGACTACGTATGTCTCTGCGCTGTGAACTTCACAAGTGCCTCACTAGAGGCCCCTCCACCAGCTGGGATAGGATGGCTGGAGCCAGCTATTTCCCTTCTCCCACGGGGAAAGCTGGAAGGGGCTGGAATTGAGTAACCCTATTTCCCTTCTCCCACGGGGAAAGCTGGAAGGAGCTGGGGTTGGTATTCCCCTCGCCCTAGGTCAGTGAGGCTCTGAGAAAACCTCAGCGGGTCAAGATCTGGTTAAACAATTCCCCCAGAGGGCAGAGTTTTCTGGTATATTTCAAAATGATTCCCCTTCCCCTCCTGCTGTTAGGATGAGGGATTTTCCTTGATAGTCCCTTTGAAACCCTACTAGAGCTCCAAGGGGTAAAAACCACAAAGGCATGGTTGGGTCCCCTTTGACTGGGTCCCTCAGAAGTTTTTAATTCTCAAGCTCATGCCCACCGAGCCTCTAGCACTTCATCAGTTAGACTTGGTTTTGTCTACGCAGGCACTCCCAAGGGTGTTTCTGCTCATGTGCGTTGACTCTCTGTATTCACCTGCTTGTGTCTCTACTTAGGGGGTGGTGAAGAGGGTGGTGATAGCAGTTTGCCCTGTGATCTCTCTTCTCTTATGGATCTAAGAAGAGTTGCTGGTTTCTCCGTTTGCTCAGCTTTTTACTTGTTGTTAGACTGAGTAGCGACTTCTAAGCTCCTTATATGCCAAATTGGAAACTGGAAGTTCCCATTTAGATTTTAAAATTGACCCTCTGCCCTTCCTATATTGTCCCCTTATAGATATATGGCCTGTTAAATTCTTTCTTGTCCTTTCCTTCAAGGATACAAATCATAGAAATGCAGGAAGAGAAAAGGCCACAGGGCAGTCCTGCCAGGAGGCAGAATTATTCCCAGCTCATCATTCTCCCAAGCCTGGCACTTCCTTTCCAAATAGCAAGTCCTGTAAGAGCACAGATGCTCAATCCTCTCCCAGAACACAGGTAGGGAAAATACACCTCCTCTAGTAAAGTTAATTGAGTTTGAAGTATATTCATTGATTGTGAAACAGAAAAAAAAATACAAAAAACCCCCTAATTTTTAAATTTGTGAAGAGTAAAAACAAAACAAAATAAGCAAATATTTAAAATGCATAACTCCATCCCCAAATTGTAACCAGTTAGGAGAGAAAGCGATTTAAGAAAGGAAAGGTGAAGTTTGAAAGGGCTAGAAGTAGACACAGGAGAAAGAACATCGATAAAGGAGAAGAAAAGGGGGAAAGAACATCTGATACAAAAGGATCCAGGAGAAACTCAGGTGCAGAGGACCACTGTGGGGGAGGGCTAGAGAGACAGTGAAGGAGAAAGAGAAAGTGACAGAAAAAGAAACCTTATGCTCTATCCATTTTGCAGCACTGGTCTGATCAAACTCAGATCTCCAATCAGCTACAGCTGCGGTCCGCAGCCTCCGGGTGGTACCGGTCCATGGCATGTCAGGGACCCAGCCACGGAGCTCTGCTGCACTGCTGCACCCACTTCCCCCATCCGTGGAAAAACTGTCTTCCATGAAACCGGTACCTGGTACCAAAAAGGTTGGGGACTGCTGGGCTACAGGATGTGGGGGCCCTTTGTTACTGAATTAGCTAATTAATTTCTGTTTGCAGCTCCCTAAAAGGTACCCTTAGCAATCATCCACTGAATGGCACAACCACAAGAACTCACCAAGGGCTGGGCTGGAGTGACCAGATAATATTAGGCCAGATGTGGCCATGGGCCAAAGAGTCCCAATCTGTACCCCTTCTGAGGGGTAGAGAGAGGATTATTAGACTACTGCAAGTATTTTCCTAGCTAGAATTGGGATAAAGGAATAGAGTTAAACATTAACATGAATAATGTCAGGAACAAGAATATTTAAATAGAAAGCACGACTGTCTTGAATATACACACTTGCCATGTCTACCATTAGCCAGTTACAATTATGAATACAAAATATTATTTAATAGATAAAACCCTTTTAATGGTTTTGCAGAAAACATTGTTTCAAAGAGTTTTAAAATTTTAGAATAAAATACAAGGGTTTTTTTTTTAATTAAATGAAACAAATTTGCAACAGGCTGATCTTATGGCTAAATTTATCAAATCACAGTCAGCGAGTTGTTGCTGAAGCGCACTGAATCCACTCTGCAGTATCCAGTGCAACAATGTGTCAACCCAATCATGACGCCACCGCCTTGTGGGTCTGTTGTCATTCAGGTACTTGCAGACCCACTGGGAACAGCCTCACTCACACCTTTGTACAGTTCAAGGAGGAAGGAGATGAAGTTTGAGAAGGAAAGAATTAGTCAAGCCAAACAAGTGTGAATGTCATGAGTGGTGGAATCAAAAACTGTCTTTAAAGTTAGCAAAATTATTGTTCTAACAGTTAACTTCAACCATTTTCCTCCCTGTATTATAGTCACATAAAACAGCTGTCACGTCTGTACCTACCTGTCTGCTGCGTAGCCTAAGGTGAACGCCCCTGCCAGGAAGCCGAGGTTCAGGATGGCTTGGGTGACGTCCAATAGCCACGCGTTGCCACAGACAAGGTCAAACTGGGAAAGCAAAGAGAATACACGTGGAGACATGTGGAAATGTTTATCTTCAAAACATGTTATCTTTTGTGCAGAGCAATGCTCTTTAAACATTTTTGCTCCATACACTCCTAAAATAAATTTTGAAAATGTATCACATGCGTATGTTTACATTGATGCATCAATATTTTTTGTCAGTTTAAATAACTGCAAATGATATGATTTTCAGTATAAATACTGATTTTTTGAAAAAATGTTATTATTACATCATCCCTTTAAGTGTATTCAAGAGAGTAGCAATACCATAGCATTTGGACACCTACCATCGTCCAGTAAAAAGGAGTTCTTTAGCAGTCTACAACTAGATAGCAATCTTTTTATCTTTGAACTCTTATTTTCATTTCCACATACTTTTATCCTAATGTAATATAGTTTATGTAGAAAATATTTTATTGATTACTTCACCATACTTCTTTGCACACTAAGTTATACATATAAATTGACATTTAAGTTCTTAAACTTTCTTATGACAATAAGTCTCTAAATATTAGAATTCTGATTGTACTATAATTATAGTTACTTTTAGACCATAATTGATAAAAACATAAGATATCATGAATTTTGAAAAATAATAATTACACGTAAGTAAAATTTTGTTGGAAATGTACCTCTCCATTTTCAGAAGAATGTTAATGGAGGCTGGGTTTTCCCAGTTAGGTCATATAATCTGTGGATGAGTATTACTGATTACTAGAATGACTTAAGACTCAACATTAATTCTATTCCTGTTTTGCATTTTTATAAATTTGTAGGCCAAAAAGACTTCTCTGTATAAATAAATTAATGGGAACGAAGGGAGTTTTGTTACAGTAATGTTAGCCAACATCATGTAAGTTCTCTAACAATTGTGCTCCAAGGAAAAAAATGGAAACCACCAGATTTACAAAAGTTCTTTAATTAACTCATTAGTCATTTACTTTTTTTCTTAATTACTTTCTGAACACTAAAACAATATTTCAACTTGTCCTGTTGTTTGGTGCCCCACAGGCTTTAAAGCCTCAAGTTGACGAACGCATGAATCATTTTGCAAAGTGGGAAAAGAACAGTTTTGAATAGGGACCTGCATCCTTACCACTGGCATATGTGCAGGCAAATCTTTCTTGGTAACAAGGACATATGAGTTGAGGATCTGAAAATTGACTCTTTTTAGAAACTTCTAGAACCTCAACCTCTGTGATTGTCTCTGTAAACCCCCAAATGGTGTGCTTACCCCAGTTTGAAAACCACTGCATTGCACTGTGGCATGAAGAGAAAACTAATGTTGTTGGAAAACGAATTGCAAGTAGTCTCATAAATACATATTCATAAGCAAACTGACATATTTATTGATAAAATCCAACTTCCTGACTTTGTTCTGTAGCTAATGACTTGTCATCTAATACAGTCGGAAAGAAGGCAGAGGCAGGAGTAGCTGGCCCCTCATGGAGATGCTGAGAAGACTGACTGAGGTAAGAGTAAAGAGATTTACATATATGTGTAAAGTTATGATCACAGTAATTTAAAAGGATTTTTATCATCAATTTTGGTTTATTAAGGTACAAACATTTTAAATAAACTAATAGGTAATTATTATCTGAAATAACTTCCCATTGGAATTACACATGCAAAGAATGTAAGTACATGAAATAAAGAATAAAAGTACATAAAATCTGAGAAAGCAAACAGACTATTTAACTACCAGAGAAAATGCCATATTTTGCTTTAGAAAAGTATCAACTAGTATCAAATATAAAAACCCAGAGAGTAGGATTTGCTTCACCCAGCCATATTTCAAATAGTGGGGTTAGCCAGCACAGGGACACACAAGGCACCCTTTGTATAAATGACATAGCAAGGCCTACCAAGAGCTAGACTTTTCATGAATGTGTTCAGTTGCTTTTGAATTGTGTGAATTAAAATGCCCCCCCCAAATATTCTTTAAACCTGTAAGATATTCTTTAATATAAAATTGATTATCTTCTTGACTCTATCATAAAAGAAATAGTCAAAAGAGTCTTTCCGTATTTCATATTAAAACAAAATTAATTTAAAATAAATGGTCTAAATGGTTAAAGTGCTGATAACTAAACATTTTCTAAAGTACAATGACAGTCATCTGGGCCAGATACTGCCTGCCCTTCTCTTCCTTCTCCATCCCAGAGGGCTGGAGGTGTGCAAACTACATTTCCCAGACTCCTTTGCCAGCAGGGTTCTGTTTAGGTTCCACCAGTAGGGAGCAAGATTAGAAGGCAGGAGGGGGGTCTTGGGCCTTCTGCTTCTGGCTATAGCAGCAGCTCCAGTTCCAATCTTGCAGTGACAACACTGGTTGGTGGCTGCAGGAGTTGGCCAGTGTTTATGGCCACTGCCTGGCCACATGGGGGCAAAAGGATACTGCCCCACAGGTACTAGCTGTAATGGCTGGCCAGCAGGGCAGGGACTGACCACCAAGACACTCTGTAGGAGCTGTCCCTCCGGATCTCTGTCGTCTCCTTCTGTGCCAGCCCTTCCAAAACAGCTCAAATCCTAACCTTTTATCAGATCCCTTTCTGCGTAAAATACCTAGCCTGGTTTCCATTTTTACAACTGGAATCTTGCCGGTTTTCGAAAGTACAAAATAACCTAAACAAATTAACACTATTTGGGTGATTGGCACAATTATAGCTATGACTCAAGCATTATAAAAGTGATACATGTAACCAAAAATTTGTACCCCCCTTAGAACTTTGAAATAAAAAAAATCAAAATTAAAAAAAATTATGTATCTTTAAAGAAATATGCATCTACCCACACTTGCTTGTGTTTGTCTGCTGTACACAGAACACTGCAGACACAAGGATTCATGAGCTTGGTTTTGACTCTTGCTCACAGAGTCAGGGAGCAGCCCCCAGCCTCCCGGGGCCAAATCGCTTGTGAGCTCACTGCCTGTCTGCTGGGGCAACAGCTCAGGACCTGTGTTTCCTGAAATAAAGCACTAGAACTTGTAATTCCTAGGGAGATCTAAAATCCCCTTCTTGTCAGTGGGAGGTCACTGTGGATCACCAAAAATTTACTTAAGTCTGAATCAAAGACACAACAATTTATGTCTTTCTTCTAAGGCAATTTATGTGGAACAAATGAGGCACCTCCTATGTTTTTTTCAAAGTGAACACATGCAAAAACATTAAACAATTTTTAAATGTTCATAAATCCATGTGTACCTATTCTGTTACTTATTAATCTTCAAAGTCACTTTTACACAAAGAGAATTACTCCCCTTGGCATGAGCAGAAAGTCAATCTGATAAAAGACTCAAACAACTGTTCTCGTAATGTTGTAAGGATTACATTGCTTCATTTTACAGAAAGCACAACTGTAGCCAAATTAGAGACTTCTGAAGAGTTTCCAAGTAAGGGCTTTCCTTAGCTTATCCTAGTTGTTAAAATCCAAACAGACATTACAATAATTTGAGTTGTAATGATAAAATGCTAGGGCAAGTAATTTTTAGGTATATGCTAAAGTTATGATTTCTAAATTATCCTTAAAACTAGAGTAACAAAACATCTACAGTATACAAATATGGAATGTAAGAAGTAAGGTAAAAAATAATGCAAGTATGCAAAAGGCTTAGAAACTCAGGAGGTGGCCTTATCTGCTCCTCAAACCTAACCCTGACACACATCAGCTGGATTTTTCCATAGAGGTGTAGGTTAGCCCTCTTGAACAAACTCTGACACAAGAAATTCTAAGATTAGAGGACATAACAGTATTTGACTCCAGTCATGAGCCATGAGAAATAGTACTCATTCATTGTTCGTATTGTTCGTATTGTTCTGGGAGAATGAGAGGACTCTGACATCAAATTACAGTATCTATGTGCCTCTGTTCTAGGGATGAGTTGTGAATGGAACCATTCCTAATCAGCTCTTAGCTTGGAACCAGAAGCCATTAAAGTTTTCATCAGTGTCAAATAAAAATAAAGAAGCATCAATGACACCTTTGGTTTGACTATCAGGTGTGGTGTCTCCCTGGCTACATTTTGCATTGGCCAAACAATTACATGTAGACCTCCATAGGCAGGTTCCATTTTTAATCAACAACAAAGCACCATAACAGAACCCGATAAAGTGTTAAAAATTATAGTAACCAGAAAGAAAATACTTTGGGTTGGGTCTCCCTGAGGGGAAAGGATGTCATTATTAATTCTAGTCATCATGAAAAATTTTTTAACATGATCTGATGGCATTATTTGTGCATCTTCATTTAACCCCAAACAGTTAATGAATGCTTTTCTTGTTTGTATGAACCACCACGGTGAGCTGCCGGTGTAAAAACTAATCTGCAGGTATTTACATATAGCTCCACTTTGGCACACCTGGCACAATGCAGACGGGGCTGGGAGAAAGGCCAGCGATGTGCATGCTTTTGTTTCTGCTCACTCAGGGACCCAGGGGTTTAAAGAGAGCTCACTCAGGGAAACAGAGGCATAAGAGCTCACTCAGGGAAACAGAGGCGTAAAGAGAGCTCACTCAGGGAAACAGAGGTGGAAAGAGAGCTCACTCAGGGAAACAGAGGCATAAAGAGAGTTCACTCAGGGAAATAGAGGCATAAAGAGAGCTCACTCAGGGAAACAGAGGTGGAAAGAGAGCTCACTCAGGGAAACAGAGGCATAAAGAGAGCTCACTCAGGGAAACAGAGGTGGAAAGAGAGTTCACTCAGGGAACCGGGGGTGTAAAGAGAGCTTAGGACAGAGTGAGGATGATGCTCAAGAGGACAAAGGAAGAGTCTGGAAAGTGGCAAATGGAGAGGCCCAGAGCAGATGTCCTGGCCCCAGGACAGAACAAGAAGAGGATTCCAGGGAGATGAGAGCAAGTCCAAGAGACAGAGTCTGCAACAACTGCCCAGAACAGGGTGACTTAGCTTAGTATAAGGGGGCATCGCTGTGGGATAAAGGCTTGTAGACCCTCACTTGTCATAGGAGCTGCTCCCCTCAGTTAGTAATAGCC